CATCCAAACTTCCTGAGGGACCGAATTACTGGGCTGAGGTCTGTGGGGACCATGGTCTCAGGGAACATCTAGCTCAATTGGCATAACATAGTTTATAAAGAAACTGTTCTACATTCTACCTTGGTGACTAGCGTCTGGGGTCTTAAAAAGCCTGTGAGCAGCCATTTAAGATACTCCACTGGTCTTGCCCCTTCGGGAGCAAGGGAGAATGAATTGAACAGGATACAAGGAAAAGGTTAGTCCAATGGACTAATGGACCACAACTACCACAGCCTCCACCAGACTGAGTCCAGCACGACTAGATGGTGCCTGGCTACCACCACTGACTGCTCTGACAGGGATCACAATAAAGGGCCCAGACAGAGCTGGAGATAAATGTAGAATAAAATTCTAACTCACACACACACATACACACACACACACACACACACACACACACAAAAGACCAGTCTTACTGATCTGACAGACGAGAAACCCCGAGAGTATGGTCCCCGGACAGTCTTTTAACTCAGTACTGAAGTCACTCCTGAGGTTCACCTTCAGCCATAGATTAGACAGGCCCATAAAACAAAATGAGACTAAATGGGCACACGAGCCCAGGGGCAAGGACGAGAAGGCAAGAGGGGACAGGAAAGCTGGTAATGGGGAACCCAAGGTCGAGAAGCAGAGAGTGTTGACATGTAGTAGGATTGGCAACCAATGTCACAAAACAATATGTGTATTATTTAATCAGAAACTAGTTTGCTCTGTAAACCTTCATCTAAAGTATAAGAAAAAAAATTTTTTTAAAATATGATAGAACATATATAAACTTAAAATCTTATAGTAGATATCACCTCTGTTTCACTGCTCAAGAAAAAACAAGAAAATCTCAATTATGTAAAGAAAATGTTATACAGGCCACATTCTTTGACTGCAATGCAATAAAGCTAGAAATTAATGTAAAACTTCACAACCCCCAGTACAGGTTTCTATCCTGCCTAAACTTGGAGCCTCAAGAGTTAAATCAATCAAATGAATCACAGAGGCCTTCTAACTTTGTCAAGTTCCATGCTTTCTTTATTCCCTTACCATAGAAATTATTGGGGAGAGAGGCTAACTGTGAGTCCAGATTCTGACACTCTTAAAAGCTCTATTTCAGAAAGTCTTGTTAAATACATGTTTTGGAACACAATTATGTGACTGAGACCTTGATCTGTCTCTTTGGATGGAGAGGACCCGGCAGGGAGCCTGGCCCAAGCACCAAAATGTTGCCATAAAATTCATGTTTTCACTGCCTCTTCTTCCCTTATTAGGCAGCTCCCAAAAAGTGATCAGGTGGTCACCTCCTCATTAATAGGGGAATGGTGAAAATATATAGGAAGGAGAAACAAAAAGAGCTGGGTCTGGGTTATCAAGTACCCATAGGTAACTGTAGCCCTTTTATTGGATATCTTTACCTCAACAGTGTAGATCAGAATGGATGATCATATGATGTCACAGATGTCTCATGGGTAACATAAAAGGTATAGTGCTAAATCCCTTAGCAGGCAAAAATTGTTTGAAAAAATTGAATTACAATTCAATGAATTTGCGTGTATGTGTTTTACTGCACGATTTTCTAACATTGTAAGTCTTTGAAGTTAAGCTGTACGAGCACCAGAAATATGATTAATGCTTAACTGATCAAATTTCAAACATTCTGGGTAGATGATCTTTTATTTAAAAGTTTATATATGTGTAAACATATACAATGAGTATTCTACTTTTGTCTTTTCAGTCCTCCAATACCTGATTAAACAATTTATTTATGTAAAATTTTCTCTGATAAAATAATGAATGTGATTTCTGTTTTCCTGATTAGAGTTTGATTGATACACAAGAAAATACTAATTTCAGTCAAAATCCTAGTGGTATTTTTTATAAAATCTGCCACAACTATTAAAAAGGTTCATTCAAGAGAGAAAAGGAAAGAATCTAACAATAACAAAAAGCAAACAAAAACCCTCTGAACAAGAAGCATATTGGAGGGAGCATCATTCTTCTACCAAATAGTAAAGTCTATTATGAAGTTGCTGCACCAGTATGGTTGCTGAGATACTGGCAGAAGAAAAGATAGACCATGTGTTATGGATTGAATTGTGTCCCCCAAAAATGTGAATCAACTTGGCTAGGCCATGATTCCCGGTATTGTGTGGTTGTCCACCGTTTTGTAATCTGATGTGATTATCCTATGTATTGTAAATCCTACCTCTATGATGTTAAGGAGGCAGGATTCGAGGCAGTGATGTTAATGAGGCAGGACTCAATCTATAGGATTAGGTTGTGTCTTGAGTCAATCTCAAAAATTTTAAGATATAAAAGCGAGAATCGAGCAGAGAGGGAAAGGACCTCATCCCACCAAGAAAGAAGAGCCGGGAGCAGAGAGTGTCCTTTGGACCCGGGATCCCTGCACTGAGAAGCTCCTCAACCCAAGGGAAGATTGATGACAAGGACCTTCCCCCAGAGCTGACAGAGAGAGAAAAACTTCCCTGGAGCTAGCACCCTGAATTCAGACTTCTAGCCTCCTAGACTGTGAGAGAATAAATTTCTGTTTGTTAAAGCCATCCACTTGTAGTATTTCTGTTATAGCAGCACTAGATAACTAAGGTACCATGTAACAAACAAAAATGAATAAAAATAGACTTAAATATTTATGGTAATGTTCTAACATCTCAAAAAAATATTTTTAAAAAATTAAATAACTCAATTTATATATCAAAATTAATTTGAGGTAGATTGAAGATTTGGATGTCCCCCAATGTAATAACCCATGATGGAGGCAAGGATAGTTAATGGATACTAACACCATTGGCTCAGATTTATAGCAGCTTTATTCGTAATTGCCCAAAACTGTAAACAATCCAAAATTCCTTCAGTGTTTCTAAAACAAACCATGGTACATCTACACAATGGGATACTACTTAGCCATAAAAAGTAACAACGTGGATGAATCTCAAAGACACTATGCTGAGTAAAAGAGAGCAGTCTCCAGAGGTTACATCTTGTATAATTTCCCTTGTGTGACATTCCAGAAAAAGTAATCTATAGGGACTGAAAACAGATCAGTGTTTGCCAGAGATTGGGGCGGGACAAGCGTTTGACTACAAAGGGAAAGGGTGAGGGAATTTTGGGGAGATGATAAAACTGCTTTGTGTCCTGACTGTGGTGGTGATTACACAGATCTATACATGTATTAAAACTCATAGAACTGTATCTCCAAGAAGAGTTAATTTTATGGTGTTAATTTAGAAATTTTTAAAAATGAGAATACATATATATATATATATATGTACCCAAATAAATTTCTTTTTAAAAAATGCTTTAAAAGAAATTTTCCACCTAGGTTTCTGCCAAAAAGGCTATTTTGTGGGGGCTCTGTGTGCTTTATGGGCCTGTTTTCTATCTGTAAAATGAAAGGCTCAGTCTAGAGCAGTGATTTTCATTCTCCCCACCTCCAATTGCCCCCCGCCCCAGGCACTCCCTTTGTGAAAATGGGGGTGGGGTAGGTTTGGAGAGAAAGAGCATTCGAGCTCCACTGGGTTCTGGATCCACAGCTCTTCGTCAACCGAAAGAATTGTGCTTTGGTTTCTCTTATGTACTGCTTATCTGAAAACCTCTGGTTTAGAGTAGTTAATCTCAAACCAGATTCCCACATACCAGTTTGAGTTTGAGCAATCCTAAATTCCAGGGCCTACTTGTGAGGGGCCCTTCATTTGTACCTTTGGCAAGTGTCCCCATGAATCTCTGTAGTTAACCAGACCAGGGCACTGACTCTAATGATCAGTGATTCTAAACAAGGCGCTTTGGGAGGAGCTGGAAGTGTGCTCCTTGCTTCATCATACCTTGGTTACACATGGCTTAAACACAATGGGAACTCTAGGCCTCCTCTGAGGTAGCATCTGAAAAGATCTTAAACCATTTTTTTTTTACATGTAGGATGATTTTTTTGAAGAGCACTTTGCAAATAATAAAGGGTTGTGCATAGAGAGGAAAATGCTGTTATGAGGATGAGTGTGCTGACCCCTGACTAGCAGGGCCAAAGGGTATCATTAATAATAGAGGTACAATTTACACTAAGCATGCACCGTGTGCCAGGTTAATTAATCGTTTAATCCTCACAACCACCCTGTGAGAGAACAGCTGTTATTACTTTTGACAGATGAGGAAACTGAGGCTCTGAGAAACCCCAGGTTACATGGGGAGGAGGTGACAGAGGTGACAGGGCTGGATGCTAGCCTTCAGAGCCAAGGCCAGTCACAGGAACCCATGAGGCCTGGCTTCAGGACAGCTCTCTCTTAGCATGCACCTGGAGAAGAGGACTAATGCCCCCTTTCATCAAAGGCTGGTGAGGGATTACAGAGGCACCCTGAGACCTTATCATCTAGAACAGTGCTGGAAAAAAATTTTTTCTTTTAATTTTATATAGTGGAATACTTTATTTAAAAACAACGCATAAACCCAATCTAAAGAATCAGAGTTGGGCAGCTGTGGTTGAAGGTGGGGATAGAGGTGGCCTGAGGCTCCCCCGGGGCTCCTGGAGCACTGCTTGAAGGCCACTTATCCAGTAATTTGGCACTTACTATGAGAAGCACAAGAGGTGCGAAAATGCCTATGGCTCTGGCTTTGGAATCCAAAGAACTAGGTGTGATTCTGGGGAACTCGCTCATGGATTAGTGGGGCTGGGGGCGGGCTGCAGGATTCCAGGCCTGAGACATGTTGGGCCTGCTGGCAGGTCCATCAGAGCTGGGCACCACCATCCTCACTCTCCTCTCTGGCCAAGCTTCAGCAGCCACGACCTTCCACTCACACAGTAAGAAACATTTTCACCATCTTACATTTAATGAACTTTATTTATAGATAATAATTAATTAGGTTAAAAACTGCAACAGCTCCTTTTTCTTGCCTTATAAAAGGCATCTGGTTTTCTCTATGAACAACGGTAGAACGTTCAACTTCATCCTGGCCGGCATGGCTCACACTCACATCATCAAACGGGCCTCCCTCTCGTAGACATCAGGCATCATACCCATCGGCGAGTTGATCATGTGTACGGTGTTCTTGCTAAACAACTTGAACTCGTAGTGAATCAGTTGTTCCCAGAAGCCGTTGTTGGGCCGGATGATGGGTCGACACGACTTGGTCCAGGTGTAAGCTTCCCGCAGCGACATGCCGTGGTACTTCATCAGGTAGGCAAGGCAGAGGGCGGCTGAGCGGCTCACGCCGGCGACGCAATGCAGCAGTGTGCGGCCCTGTTTCATCTCCACGCTGTGGATGTGGTCAGCTATGGAGTCAAAGTAGTCGTAGAGGCTGGCGCTGGGTGTGTCGGCCACAGGGACGCGTACATATTGGATGTCTTCGAAGGAGGTGTTTACGACTTCCACCGACACGTTGATAACTGTAGTGATATGGTTGCTGGACAGCAGGAGCCTGTTGTTGGCAGCCGCACCATTACTGATAAACAGGCTGCTGGTGATCTGAGACAGGCCATGGACCGTGGGCCGCTGTAGATGAGGTGGGAGGGGACGCCGGGGCTCTGTCATCAAGGCGGCGGATCCTCGGTCTCTCTGGGCAGGTCGGTTGGGGGCACCACTCCCTCAGGCAGGCGAGTTGTTCTGGAAGCAGCCGCACCGCGAAGTCTCGGGCGGGGGTATGGGGAAGGGAGGACCAACGGATCACGACCGGGCGTCACAATCCCCAACGCCAGGCGCTCTGGTTTCCATGGCAATGGCCGCTCGCGGAGGGGAGCCTCGTGAGCCTCGGTGCTGTGCAGGGTCTTCCGAGAAACCGCGGGTCCCTTTTCTTTTTGTCTTTCTTCATAGTAGTTTATTTTCCAAACCCTAATTCTCATTTTTCTTGACTTTTTAAAATGTTCTTTTACAAGAGATCTATTTTATGCTTCAATTGTTGGGCCACACGGAACACAAAGTCTCTTAATGTTTCCATTTCATTGGTGAAGAACAGGGCTTACTCGTTTTTTCTTTTTGCAAACAGCAGTATCATATTGTACGTTAGGAAGCAGCATTCGCCTCATGTGATATGCTAATCTCTATAAAACTGCAGCGAGATATACGTTTGACTGGGTTTAGTGGCCTGGCCTGATACTTCTTTGTTGATTGTAGCCATAGAATTATGCTCCTTTTTAGAAATACATCACGGCTGGCTTTAAGGGATATAACTGATACACAGCCCCTTGTCTATTGTGAAGTTGCCCTGTGGTGGACAGTTGTGGCTAATTTATTTGTATCACAGTCCATTGGTAGATTTCAGCTCAAATGATTTATCACTTGATTCCACTTTATTACCTGAAACAACCCTTCAAATTAGCTTGTGTGTATTTTCTTTGAAAACAATGCCCACATGCTTTGTAAACTACTATTCGCTTTGTCCACCACCGGTGGTTTCTTCCCAGTAATATTAAAAATTTTGAAACAAGTCAATGCTACATCATAAGTGGGCCAAAAATTTATTTTTTAAGATGTTACCTGACATTTGCGTTTTTCCTCTCAGCTAAGATTTTTGTAGAATTTGGCTGAAAATTCGAAAGAACTATAATCTAAAACTAACATTGTTTCACAGAGTAGCCAAAACACATATACTTCACCCTCATTTCATTATCATTTTGGTTTGTGTGCCAAGCTGTGCTGTTTCTGTGAACAAAGATGAAACAGATGCCAGCCTGTTTATGAATGGTCAAGGAAATGATAACCTCAAAACACAACAAACTTTTCTTTTTCTCAGTTGTAATAATCAAGTTATTTTGCATTACTTAAATTGTCAGTCCCCACAAATCCATCTGGAAGAAAACAGAACACAATAAATATGAAAACTGCTTCTCAGAAATTGAAAATTAGTTCAATTGGGCTAAAGATATTTAAAAGAGTTTGTTCTAACATTTGACTTATGGCATCTTGAGGAGCATTGTAATATAATGAAATAATGTGGAACTCCTAAAAGAGTATTCTGTTACCTGTTGCTGTCGAGTTGATTCCGACTCATAGCAACCCTTTAGGACAGAATAGAACTGCCCCATAGGGTTTCCAAGGAGTGGCTGGTGGATTCAAACTGCCGACCTTTTGGTTAGCAGCCTGAGCGCTTAACCACTGCACCACCAGGGCTCCAAAAGAGTATTAAAGTCTAGTTATTTCATAAGGATTCAATTAGTATGTTTTATAATTATAAAAAATTAATCAAACTAATTTCATACATTATTCTCAAAGACAAGTGGTTAAGCCTTTGGCTGCTAACCAAAAGGTCAGCAGTTTGAATCCACCAACCACTCCTTGGAAACCCTATGGGGCAGTTCTACTCTGTCCTATAGGGTCTCTATGAGTCAGAATTGACTCGATGGCAAAAGGTGATTCTCAAAGACAATTATGACCCATACTAAATAAGTTCATTTATTTATTCTTTCAGCCAATATTCTGTGACGTCTTTTAATCTGAGGTATGCTAGATGTACACTATGGGGCTTTTCCTGGGTGGATGAGGATTTGACGTTTCCTCTCCCTGATTATGGAAACAGCTCACTTTGAGACTCACACATATCTCTACTTTGTCTGGTTATTCAGTGGAGAAAATGTATAAAGGATTTGCCTAAGAACACACTCACTCTCTGGGAAAAGACCCTGGATGTTAAGAACTATTTATTGTTCAAATTTCTCAATCCAGTAGTCAAGGCCCTTTCCAATCTGATCTAAGCCTGCCATTCAAATCTCATTCATTCACTTAGTCACCAAATTTTTATTAAGAACCTGTTGTGCGTTAGGCATTTTCACCTATACCAATCCTCAGTTCTGACCAAACAAATCAAATGTTCTTAATAAATACAAGATGTATATCCCTGCTTTCTTGCCTTTGCTCATACCATTCCTCTCTTGAGAAACTTTTCCCACTCCTCTCTGCTTACTGAATCCCTGTCCATTCTTCAAGACTCAACTTGATTAAATTAAAAAAAGCATTGACTAAGCATACAATGTGTCACGGGACATCCTAGCGTTAGTGATATAACACAACACACACAAGCCCTGATTTCAAAGAGCTTATAGTTTGGTCAAAGAGAGAAATAATCATGTAAAGAGTCCAGAAGAGAAGGTGATTCTCTACTTTATGTGTGTATGTTGGGGGCGGGGGGCGGGGTGGTGCTGAGTGTGGAGAGGAGAGGTAGAGAGATTTCGTGGAAGACTTCATGGAAGACACGACCTGAAATAAAAGTTTTTTAATTTGTTTGTTTTTATTATTTATTGTTATTTTCCCCCAAGTTTTTGTTTTGAAAAATTTCAAACCTACAAAAAAGCTGTAAGAATAGAACAATGAACATCGGTTTACCTATAATTTATCTATTAATAACAAATTGCCACACTTGCTTTATCTCTCTATTTAGATATACGAACATACATGTTTCTTTGTTTCTTTTTGCTGAACCATTGAGAGTCAATTGCAGACACAGCAACACTTTAACCCTTCAGCACTTATCTCCTAAGAACAAGTAAATTCTCCTACATAGCCACAATATTGTTGTTAGGTGCCATCCAGACTCATAGTGACCCTATGTACAACAAACGAAACACTGCCCGGTCCTAGCCACAATATAAGGACCACATTCAGGAAATTTAACATTGACTCAATACTATTATTTAATATATAATCCATATTCAAATTTCACCAATCTTCCCCAAAATGTTACTTAAAGCTGTTTTTTTCCCTCCCTTTTGATTCAGTACCGAATCTAGGATTAAACGTTGCATTTAGTTGTCATGCTTCCTTAGCATCTTTTAATTTGGACCAGTTCCCTAGCCTTTTGTTTTGTTTTGAACATTTGTTTGGAGATTGACATTTTTGATGAGTTTAGGCCAGTTGTTTTGCAGAACGTCTTTCAGTTTGGATTTGTCTGATTGTTTCCTGTGGATTAGATTCAGGTGAAATATTTTGGCACAAATACTATCAGAATGTGTCATTCTCAGTATATTGCATCAGGAGACATATGATATCTGTTTGTCCCATTGATGATGATAATTTTGATCACTTGGTTAAGGTGGTATTAGCTAAGTTTCTCCATTGTAAAGGTGACTTTTCCCCTTTGTAATTAGTAATATGTGCGGTGGTACTTTGAGTTGAGGAGTTTTCCTAGGAATTTTCCAGGCAGACAAGGAGGCAGGAACATTCTAGACAGAAAGTGATGTATATGCTAAGGCACAAAGATGTGAAATAGTGTCAGGAGGACAGAGAACAGCAACTCAGAATTCCTAGAGCATAAAGACTGAGGCAGGAGAAGTGGCAGGTGGAGGGACTTGAGGAGCTTGCAGCAGGATCTTATAGGCCATGTTGGCACACTGGCACACTTATGGAGGGAAATGGCATAATTAGATTGGGTTTTTTTGAAATCTCACTTGCAGCTACGTGGATGAATGGGGGGATGGGGCGCAGTGCAGAGAGAGTCGATACTAGGAGTGAGAACTATTGCAGTAGTTTAGGTTAGCAATGATGCATCTATTACAGACTCTTCTGACATGGAAGCTGGATCAAACCCAAGTATATTTCATTTCCTCAAGTATACACAGGGCAGGTCACATATAAGAATAGAATATCAAACTTTCTGTGGATCAGGGTCTTGAGAGTCTGGTGTCCTTGATGGAAGACAGTTAAGGCAAGAGGCTGAGGATATAGGTAATATGTTTAATATGACTAAATTGAAGGGTGGTGGTGGCGAGAAAACCTAAAGGAGTATGGGATGAAGGTATAAGAAAGGTACATAGCTAGAAGGAGTTGCATATTATGTCATTAGATGGACAGGAGGATGGGAGATCCCCAGCAGAAGGTCCTAAGGCAGAAGTGGGAGTTGGCCTCCCTGAGTAACGAACACAGAGAGTTGTTTGCTATATACACACAACAGGAAGTCAACTCCTCCAGGACTTGCTGCTGGGCTCAGCCTGGTCCTTGGTTTATGGAAGGTGAGACAGAGACGGATGGATATGAATGGGGAAGTCTTTGAATAACACTCTCCAGTCCAGAATACAGATAATATAACATAACAAAATGATTGTGACTTATATGTTAGGTGAAAAAACCAGTTTATAAAAAAGTAGGTATATTTTTGTAAAGGCAAAGTATGTATGTATGTATGTATATTCATTGTATATATGTATATCTATCATATATTAAATATATATAAATTCTATTTATGGAAATAGATATTTAACCCACTTCTAGGTGTATGGTAAGAATTTAATAAATGTTAGATTTAGTATTATATTTTAATGGCAGGATTAAGGAAGATTATTCTTTTTTTTCACTTGTCTACATTTTTCAAATTTTCTGAAATAACTTGTATTATTTTTGTAATCAGAAAAAAGAAATAAAAATGAATTCAAAACATCATCAACAATCATATCTATATCTGTATCTATCTATATAGGTCTATAAAATTAGCAAAGATGAAATCTGGTAATTCCAGTGGACAAGAATTCAGAGAAATGGGTACACTTGTACACTGCTGGGGTTCGAGGAGAGAAATATCAACACTGACTGTGATGGTTACATTGTAT